GAAAGAATGAAAGACTGGGAAGGGAAGATTGTCCTCTAGTGTCCATGGATTAAGAGGAGTTGCGTACGTCCTACCTGATGGCAGCGTCTGCATTCCAAACACGTACTCATTTTTCAGGTTTTCCCGCTTCCCCTCCGAGTCACTTCTTCCCCGATTCGTGCATTTCATTCCTTTGCTTTTTGGAGATACAGACACATATACTCTTCACTTTTCAACTGGATCATCGACGTTTCCCGAATGAATTATCGCCCATCCTCTCGGAAGACGGCATTAATCAAAGTTGCAAATTTCGTTCAGGTCCCAAACGCTGAATGCCACGATGATGTTACCGGTCGCATTCTTGTTCCTCTCCTTGCTCTCTTTGGGTTTTGGGCTACCTGGGCAAGTCTGTCCTACCGAAGATATCAGTCCTTGCACGTGCGTCCAAGATTCCTACACCCAAATAAACGTGGAATGCAGCGATGCCAGCTCGGGAGAGGAGATCGCATCGGCCTTGAAGAAGGCATCCTGGCCCACCATGCCATTATGGTGAGTCTCAGTGAGTCTGAATGGGAAAGCCAATTGGCCAGCATTGCCGTGGCGGTCAACGTGTTAAGAGGAGTTGGCCTACCCTGAAATTAAGGAACGCTCGACCTCGACATGTGGTATCCAAATGAATATTATCGCCTCTTGATACCATTATATTACCTTGATACCTTGATATTAACCATAACGGAATGATATCAGTATCTTCGATATGTAAAATGAAATTCAGCAGGGGAGAGCGAGCAATAATGTTACTTTGACAACTAGGTAAAAAAAAATTACAAGTAAGGTCATACAGGAACGGTTAAAAGTTAAAAACAAGAAAGCGGATTTGGATAATTTACAAATATTTCGGTTTAGAATGAGCTTTTTATGAAATTCATTCCCGAGATCTGAGGGAATTTCTCTCTACAAAACTTGGTCATACTTTTGTACTTTTTGAGCATACTTTTTTGTACTGTACATACTTTTTGAGCATGTTTTTGATACATGCGTGAGCAAGTACACGAGAATTCCGTTTGAACAGCATGCAACATTGATAGCGCCGTATTCAAATACATAATGGTTTCCCTTAACTTTGTGACTTTCGTATTTCATACCGACAATAACATTTCTCTACACGCATTTCTATTCACTGTAAACAATAATTCCGACTAAGGCATCGGAAACGGGGTTTCCATCTAATGCGTGGAGAAGGGAATTCCGATTCACAGCGGAAAGCATGTCTCCTGTTATTAAACGTTCCAAAAGAAACCTCGGAATCCATCCCTCTGACTAAAGTAATGGAGCCTTCCTCTCATTTTACGGAAAATTCAATTCCATTTTCGGAATCGGGTTTCCGTTCACGGAATCGGAAGTAAATTTTCGTCTCATTCCCCAAAAGGCAATAACAGAAGTAATCAGTTTTTGCCGAGGAAAGGTAAGCTTTATGACGTGTAAACTACGCTAAAGCAATGGTAATTAGTCACTCATAAACCATGTAGGGGCAGTGCCTCTACGACAATGTTCTATTCAATATCGCAATATTTCTGTAGCTCTTTTTAATCAATTTTGGATAAGATCGCGACCTGTTCTCTCCTCTCTCTCTTCTCAAATAGAGAGTGTTAGAGGAAAACGACCGCATCCTGAGTCCTGCATCTACTTTGATTTTCCATGAAGTGCGGGCCGCTGGCAGCCAGGAAGTGTAGATGATGTCAGTGAAGCAGATCGTCCATCGTTTCGGAGCAGTTCCTCTCACCGATGGGAAGAAGAAACTGTGATGCTCTTCGTTTCCCTGTATCCGATAGAGAAATACACATAAAAATACCTTTCTTCACGAGAAGGAAAACTGTGCGTTTTCCGAAGCATCACGATCTCAAAATTAAGGGGATATCGGAGGCTGCAGGGAGTCAACTACCATTCGGAATGCAAACTAAAGGTGTCGGGTGGCTTCCCTAAGGTGCCGATACGGAAAGGTCCGAACGATCGGGATTGGGAAGGTTTTCCCCAGAATATTCGAAACAGACTTTTCCGATACGTAAAATGGATCGTTCGCTTATATTTCGGAATTCGAATGTAGGTTCCTTAGCCGTAATATTTTGTGAAGAAGAAAAGAGATAATTCCCAAAAAAAAGAAAACCAAGTCGGATTTCTAAGGATGTGCAGGAAATATTTTCAATCCGTTAGAGGGAATGCAGGCTTATGTGCTCTTGGTCGAAAATTTTTACGATGGAGACTCGGAAATTTCAGACATTTTTTTTTACTGTGTTTCTCTGTCTCTTCAAACACTTAGATAGCGATAAATATGTCAGCTCTCATTTATTTAGCTATAATTTACTGATAAAGCAACACAACCATCATCTCAAACATCAAAAACATGGTTTAGAGCCAGTTGTAGACGCAAATGGCAGAGATGGGAACATTCTTTTATTTGAAGTGCTTTGAAAATAGATTAGAATATTCATAATTTATCCATTCGTAAGTGATGCTTAGCATCTCACATCCAGACCCGCTATTTGAAGAAGTGTTCCCCCTCCTTAATTCTATCCTCTTCTCCCTCCTGCGATTCGAGGAGATGGATTTACATCGTGCTAATCGATGAAAACTTCTCGGGAGTTTTATGCTGCGATTACGTGAAATGTGTGTTTCGTGAAGAATGAAAGCCAGGGAAGTGAAGATTGTCCTTTGGTGTCCATGAATTAAGAGGAGGCGCGTACGTCCTACCTGAGGGCAGCGTTTACATTCCAAACACGCGCTCATTTTTTGGATTTCTCGCTTCCACTCCGAGTCACTTCTTCCCTGATCCCTGATAAATACATTTCATTCCTTTGAGTTAGGGAGAAAACAGCAATCAGTTGCCCATCAATCAACGGGTCAATGAAGTAATGTGAAAATCAATTTTCAACGGTTTTTCCTTTCTATAACCCCCATCCCCCATTTCTTTTTCCCCCTTCCCTACGTCGGTTAGGCTTAGGCCTAACCGACGGACTTTCTTCGGATCAGGCCTAAGCCTACCTTATTTCGCTCAAAAGAAACTCAATCCTTGACTTACAGATTAAGTAGGCCTATCGAAATTAATGCCTGGTCTTCGAGACACCTCGTCAAGGACGTGTTACGTAGGGCCAATCGCAGGCCTATTCAGTCTGTCATGACATATTTAGCAGGGAACGTGTAACGTGTAGATTGTAGGTCTTTTTCGGGTTTCATGAACCACTTCAGGGCGGTCGAGGAACATTTGGCCTATTCAGAGTTCCTCAAACCGTTTCGACTCGTTCCGAGGAGGAAATGCGGTTAGAAAGCAGGACATACGAGCTGGTCGCCATGTTAGTTTAGAGATATCCGGATGAGATATCTCTGTATTCCATCAAACCTATTGGGCACTGCAAGGCACCGTTTTAATCTCAGTTCATCCCATGAATTCAGCGCAATAATATCTCTTGCACTGAAAAGAGAAGATTCAGACAACGATACTAAGACCGAAGAAATCAAGAATCTGACAACTCCGACATGATATCCGACAACACTGGGGGAAGGGATCGGAACTAGCGCTTTAAGCCTGAATGGACGACAGCTAATTTCAATATTTTAATGGCAAAATGATGCATCGCAAGCAACAAAAAGGGCACTTTTTGTCATCTAGGAGTCAGTATACAGTATTTATTATGGTTAGTCTCTTTCCAACAATTTCACTTATAGTAAAGGTAAACGTATCGGCAGATACTTTTTTGTTATGATGAACCATATCTTCAGCGAAGAAGTTTTTGTAGTTGAGGTGTTTCGGCTTCCCCCTGTGCTTATGGTGTCTAAAATAGCCCAACGCTCCCTTATTGTTTTCAAACAGGACCATCGGTCTTGTTTGCGTGATCATTCTCGGACAGCGGCATCCATTCACATTGAAAGTCCCGTGCGAATGCTACTTCCTCGAAATCCACGATGATCCTACACCTTTCATTCTCCTACCTCTCCCTGTTCCTCTTGGCTTTTGGACTACCTGGGCAAGAATGTCCTCCTGAAGATATCTGGCCTTGCACGTGCGTCCGAGATTCCTACACCCAAATAAACGTGTATTGCAAGAATGCCAGCTCGGGAGAAGAGATCGCATCGGCCTTGAAGAAGGCATCCTGGCCCTTCATGCCGTTATGGTGAGCCTCAGCATTTTCCAATTCCCCCTTCATCGATTCCCCTCACACTTAACAGGGAAATTTTCAAGTTCATCCATCGAACATTGAAACGGCAACAAGTGCATTGTCACAATGTAAATTATTTCTTGGAAAAATGGTGAGTAGTTCTTTCATAGTGGTGCCAGTTTCTGGTTAATTCCTTAAACGGTAACCGAGATGATTCATCCGGTTGCTCAGTGGTTATCCTAACTTTACGGAATATTCTTAATGCATGGATGTCTCTTCCGCCCCAAATACCTCAATCTAAAGTTTCCCATACAAATTGTTCGTTTTGTAAGCATAAGCGAAAAACTCCTTTTCTTGACGCATCCTTGAAAGCCCGGGCGATAACCCAAGGGCCAGGGAGGAAGTAAATTCCTCTGTGAGATGAGAATATTTGCTAAATAATGAGCAATGTGAAAAGGGTGAGAAGAGGTGGAAGAGGGAGATATTGTGCTCCGTTTCCTTTCCTTTTCCTCCCGCAGCATGGGACAAGACAGAAGGGTGGTGGAAACTCAACAAAGAATATCATTTTGTCTCTCGGGAGGGATGAAGAAAGCTGTAAGAGTCTGAATTTCACGGTTCAGAAGAGAGGAAGGGGAATTAAAGCACACGCTCACTTCAGATTTTTTTCCTCGATTCTTTTGTCTTTGTGGGAACAACTTCCTAACTCTAATCTTGGGAGATATCTGCAATTTTTATGTTCAAGACCTGGTAGGAGGATGTAAAGACGTAATATGTAGACGTGAGTGAGAGTATGAGTGAATAATGTTAATTCTAACCAAGTTCTAGATATAAGAGAAGGATAAACATTGACGCACAAATACCTGTTAGGCTGTTGACAGAAAATATCTGGCTTTGGAGGGACATCCTCTGGAATCTCTTTTTTTTGGGGGGGGGGGGCATTTTCCAAATAACTTTTTCGCTTCAGGAAAACAGTGAGATATGGAAAGTTGATACTTGAATGAAGGTACCTGCCCTGATACTGATTTCAAAAAAGTTTTGCATATAATTTACATCTCTTGAGTGCTTTACTTAGTGGGGGAGGGATGCATTTCTAGATGTTTCATTGGTTCAGCGAATCGGGCAGATATACAGTGTCCAATAAGACACAGCGTTCTTGGTGCAAATAGTATAGGACTTACCAAAGAGGCATAATGCATGCTGGAAATGACCCACTCGCCTGCAGACGTGCACTGACACGTTGCATCTTGTTAGTGAAGATCCTCGCCGAGACATTTTTTATTTTGCCTATTTCCATTTCTGATGGCATCCTTTAATTCTCTGATAGAGTTAGCGTAGTTTCTGTAGGCGTCTCATTTGATTGCTCCCCACCCGAAGTCTAAAACCATTCTCTATACATTGCACGCCTCCGATATTGAACGTTTTTCATTACTGTAATATCGTACGAGATCTCTGCGCTGCTACGTACAGCACCACATCCAATACGCGTCAGAAACATGATTGAACGTGATTATGCATATCTATAGACATATGGGACCATTTCCAGCATTTGTTGTAACTTCCATGTGCTTCCCATTCTGCTTGTACCATGCGCAAAGTGACATTTTGAACATATTGTAAAAAGGTGAATCATGGCACAGAAATAGCTGTCATGAGGTCGAGTTTGGGAAAAAATTCTCTTTTTGAGGTACAGTCTCATGAAGCCAAATATATGGGTGGGGCGTTTTCTGAGAGACAATTTCGCTACATTGAAATGAGCTAAAATATAAATCTTTCATATTGTATGCCTATAATTATTGGAGCATAAATTTCACGAAAATGTTACATTTTGAAGTAGATCTTCAGAGTAAATGTTTTTTGGCAGGAATTATTTTCCGGAAAATGTTCGCTCCAACGAAAAAGAGACATAGAAAGCTGAAACTTGGTACAATGGCACCTTTTGAGGGGGAGATTTAATGAAATATCGTACCTTTAGGTGGTCTACCTCTCCTTGGGGCATACTTTTAGGGGATATATTCTCCAACAAATTTCTTATTCCAGTGAACAGGCAGATTTGGAAAACTAAAATTCCACAAATATATATTTACCAGGAAATCCAAGAACAAGGAAAATATTAATTTTTAGGTTGATTCCGAGAGAATCGACCTGAAATGTTAATATTGGGATTAATGCACTAAATGTTTTCGCTCCACTGATTCGGGAAGTTGTAGAAAACCGAAACATGGCACAGAAGTATATGTTGGTTCCATCATTTCACGAAAATGCTACCTCTGTGATCTATATCCCCTTAGGGCAAAATTTTCCTTGTCAAGCTAATGTTTTTTTCTTGCTGCCTGGAGACAGACGAACTTACATATATATCCATAGATATGACAGCCCAAGTGGGACTCAGAATCGTACAGTATATACTTTTGTTGAACATAATGCATATAAATCTACTTAGACCACAGGGTGAAACGTGTTTTCCTTTCCTGTTGCAGGGCATTCTACCTTCACGGCAACAAGGCAGTTAAGGAACTACCTGAAGGAGTTTTTGGGAATATCTCCTTCCAGCACATACATATGGATGACACTGGTTTGGAGAGAATTCATCCGTCAGCCATCCTGTCTTCGAAGAATCATCTCGAACGGCTTGTGGTCTGGAACAGCCCCAGCTTCACGGAGTTCCCTTTCCATGTCCTTCCCGTGTTGCGACGCCTCAAAGATCTCCTCCTCTTTCGATGTTCCTTGACTTCAGTACCAGCTGTGAAGAACCCGAGCCTCATCGAACTCACTTTCCAATTCAATCGCATTTCAAGAATCGAGGAACATGGTTGGGACACACCCTATTTAAGGAAATTCATCATCAGTGAGTATACTACTGTATTACACACTTTGATGCTGAACGACGATTCATGATATGTTGTACATATTCATGAGTATCCACTGGTGAGCTAGTTCGATTTCCATCGATAATCTTGTTTCCTACCTCATAAACTCGTCCTTAGTGACTTGCTGAAATAGTCGTCTGACGCCATGTTTCAGCGAAACCTTTCAAAGATCATCAATCTGGGCGCTTGTTTTTCTCCAGTCGCTAGCAGTTGCTGGAGAAAAAGATGTCCTGGCTAGGCACGACCACGTCATTGAATGACGTCGCAATTGGGCAAGCAACTACTAACGGAACATAGCAAACTACGAGAATGCAACATTTTCCAAATATTTTAAAGTGCAACTTAGATTGGATAATCACATCGGTCCTACATTGGATTGATGATGGAATGCCAATGCAAGCAAACCAATATTTAGCCGATATTGGCAAGTGCAGCCAACCTGCTCAATGTTGGTCCAGCATCGAGCCGGTACTAGGTGAATTGGGATGGGGAGTGAGCTGTCCAATCAGTGACATTTCAATGCTGACCCAACGTGCAGCCAGATTTTCACTTCAATGTTCATCTTAGTATTGCGATTAGCGACATTTAAATATTACATTGATGTTAGACGCAATGCCATCCCAACACTGGCAATGTTCAAAATTAACGTTCATACAAAGCTGATTGTTCGTTTGTTACCAGGCTCCTTCCACTTCCCTCCAACACAGTGACGGATGCAGGGATGGAGAGGAGGGGGGAATTATAGAAGAGACTTTTATGATTAATTTATGTATGATCTAACAGATGTGCTGTCCATCACGCAAATGAAATCATTCAATGAAAATGGAAGATTGTCGACTATCGATTATCGATTAGGTCGACTATAGAAGAAAAAGCAATTCATCTTCTCATGCAGGTTCAAGAACCATACATCTCGTTTGCTTTATTATTTCCAGTCCATTGCAGGAGTCACTCTTCGTATCAGATGCTAAACAAAAGTAACGTGTGGTGCTGATGGCATATGAATATGCGACAGGAGGGTAGATGCTGTATGCAGTTGAACTTTCTCTGTTTTGGGGTTCAGGTGAATGGGTCACATAAATTTAATTTTCTCTTGTTCAATCAAAGGACAACTTACTGCCTTTAGTTAGGTTTGGGAATAGGAACGAGTTAGCGTTTCTCATCATGGAATCTGGCAATGTCCTGACTGTGGGACTTTATTGCATAACATGGTCTACAAGTCATCTCTGAGAAAAGTGTTATACCCTAGGAATATCTCAAAAGTCCTGTGATAATGTCGGGGTCCAATAGATAACCGAAGAGAAATCATGAGTCCCTGGCGCAGTGATACGCAATATTTTTTTTTGCAACGGTCTGCTTTCTGAAGTGAATTCATTTTGGGCATATGGAATGTCCAAGGCTTATAGGGTCCGATGAGTTCTTATTGGGACCCTCTAAGTAATATAGAAGACCTATTGGAATCCAATTCATTCCCATAGGATAACTATTGGGCTCCCTATAGGAAATTATGCATCCTATAGGAAACCTAATGCATACATTTACATTCCTATAGGTCCAATGCGAAACCTATAGGATACTATACGATCCCTATAGGGATCTTATGGATCCGATATAGGAATGCATGTTTCCTATAGGAACCCTATATATCCCATAGGGATTCTATAGGTATTATTATACATTCCTATAGAATTACTGTAGTATTGGACTCTTTCGTAAGTGCTATGACACGGGTAATAATTATATGCACTTGAAGTTGTTTGCCTTTATTGTCATGCCCTGTAAACTTGGGATGACGAAAACTAAGGGAAATTCTGATGGACTTGAGATGAGAAAACACACAGGATTGACTTTCATTAATTGATCAATCTGCCATTCATTGTGCATGAGCTCATGAACACCATTTGCAAAAGATGATGTGCCAAAATAATAAATTCAAGCGTAAGAGGAGTTCTACGAGGTCTCAATGACCAGGAAGGATAGCGCTCGACATTCCTCCACTCGTATTATCGGTAGGAGCTCTTGTCCATACTCAATATCCGACTTCTTTTCAATATTTGCTATAATATTGCGTTGGGTCAACATATTTGAGTTAAATTTGAGAATCAGTTGGAAATATGCTGATATATGCATTGTGAAATTTTTGCAAAAATAGCAACAGTGTAAGCGGATATATTTAGAATACAAGTCGTTGGTCTTTTCTTGTCTAACCTAGTAAATTTTGGCTGATGGAGGAAAGAGAGTGTTTTGTGGGATCTTCCATAAATAAGGCTTGCCACAGATCTTATCCGACTGCTCAATTGGTTGTCGTCCTCTTTTTCCTTGCAAGGACCATCACAATAACAAGGAAGGTCAGAGGGAAACGTGACTTAGACAATAAAGATGTCATGAGTCACACATCTTGATATCTTTAAAAAAAAATATCGGGGTAGTAAATGAAAAGGATGAAAATAAAATTCCAGCCTTTGTTTTCACGATCTGCATGAGACTGGGCTTCCTGCCCATTCATGCACTTCAATGCCCATTTTGTGACGACCTTCTTTCTTTTGTTTTATAAAGGTGACAATATCCTCACGGAGTTTCCACATTCTATCATAAAGAGCCTTGAAAGACTAGAGGAGTTCCATTGTGGAGCGTGCCATCTAGGACCCACCCTTACAGCTGGAAAACTGGAATTTCAAAGCAAATATTTGAAGTTGGTGCGGCTCTGGGAGAATTCCTTAACTCGATTTGAGCCGGAAGCAATCATTGGTATGCTATCCATTGGTATCCCATTCACATCCATCCTGGATTTTGAAGGTTACTATTATGCATTTGCTCCTGCTTGCGTGAATTGTGTAGTGATACCTGTCGAACCCCCTTGCACAAATAATTATGTTTGGATGGTTAATTCTGATTATTGACTTGGTAAAAGGGTTCGCCAAACTGCAATTAAAGCAGTTTTGCGGCCGCAATTCATGCAAGGAAACGGTGAACTTATGAGTAATAAAGAATGGGAAGAGTCTAGCGAGACGGTCTGACGAAGTTGAGTTGCAAGGGACGGGAGGGTCTAATTCACCCTACCCCTCCGAAGAAATAATGAAATACTGTAGAAGTGAGTAAAAAAATATTTTGGAATTTAAAATGTAAAAAATTGCAATCGCTTTGAGTAAAATACCCGTCATGTAAGATGTAAGGGCGGGAAGAGACTTTGCAGTTGCTCTCTTGAAAATAGAGAAAAGGAAGTTGGTTAAACGGCTAACATCCACAGGCATCATATTCTGGTGGCGATACTTTCTTCGTCGCGTTGATATTCATATGTAAAGGAACAGATATTCGTTTCCTATTGCTGCTGATGGCTCAGTGGTATTCGACTGGAACACACAATATATTTGGAACATGGGCCTCAAAGTGTTTAGATTTCTCAACTCGAAACGTTAATCATGGGTGAGGCGAAAATATGGTAACAACCCTCTCTTTGAAAATCTGCAAATATTATGATATTCCTTTTCCACTTTGGTTTAGGAATGAATCTAATACATTCAATGTATAAGCAGTTGTGGTTGGCTAATGGGCACTACAAAGAAAGTTTCAAACATGAAATTTAGAACAGACTCATTTGTCTTGAGACAGATTTCTACTCAAGTGATACTTCCTTGACACTTCCCAAGAGTGAACATTTTTCTTGGGGAGGGGGGAGGAGGGGAGAGAAAGGCAATAAGAAGCAAGAACAGTGACAAATTATATGTTTCTCTTCAAATTTCAATTCAGTTGGTCCGGTTTGTAGTTAAATGTAAGACAATATTAGTTACTAGTTATAATTAATTCTGTTGTTCTACCTCTCGCCCGGTGTGGGATTTTTGAAATATACCAGTTCACTCAGAATTTTGACAATTTTAATAAAATCCGATATATCTGAAGAATGGGCAGTCGTAAGTGATAACATTACTAGCACATTTTGAAAACATAATAAGCAATGTTCAAGCAAAGTTTAAAATCAGTTAAAAGATTACGCATTTTAAAGAAATAATGTCGATCGGGTTACTTTTTTCTTTTGACCAAGCCCATATATACCAGATACTCGCCTGCTCGGAGGAGCCAGCAATCAACGAAATCGGAATGGGTTATGCATGCAGTGCTGTCTTCCACATACGGAAGAAAATCACTTGAGGACGAATTCGTGAAGCTCTTTAGATTAATTCTTTTTTTCAACTAGTCAATCAACACGTCAAAAGCTAAAGTCGCTGCGTCACTATGTTAATATACCAGTTCCGTACGACTTCACTTCTTAACGTCCAATAGTTACTAAATAGTTAGTGTGCATTGTTATTCGGTGTACCAATTAAATACGAGTCTACCATAGGCGGTGTGTAGGCTAAGAAAAGCAAGCAAACGTTTCCATTCAACTTTAAACATTGGAATTCATCAAGAGGTATCTGAAATTGGTCGGCTTTCCTGGAGATACCAATCCATCTTTAACCAAGAATGCCGAGATAAAAAAAATCAAACCTTAGACTCCTACAATTTGCCTTCCAGGGACATTTCATATTATAGGGGAAGGTGGAGTTGTGGTAAAGCAGTGGAAATAAAAGGCGTTGATCATGGAATATATTGGGTTCGAATACGGACAAACATGCTTCGGCAGCAGTGGCAGGGAAGAAGAAAAAATATCTGGCATTCCAGGAAAAGGTTTCTGAGGTTGGTTTACATGCCGTCAGGGGTACAT